CTAACCTGAAAGCCTAAAAGTATTGAGAAAGAAAATTTAATACAGCTAAGCCAAAATGAAACAAAAACCTTCCCGCCTAAAATCAAATTGAGTTTGAAAATGAAACAGTGCACGGCGAAATTACCTGATCACCGGAAAAAGTCTGAGTGCTTCAAAAATCACCGTGACTGCTAGTCACCTGATGCCACTCCTCGACCTCGCCCATCACTACAGATAGCTGCTAGTTGGCGGCGGCCAGCGGCCTTGTTCCTGCTGTGGCCAAATCAAGGATCAGCTTAACTTGACTCTTATTAAGACATTAGTTACACTAATCACATAGTTCATACCTGAACAAACATCAGTATAGACTTGGGGATTGAGTTCACCTGAATGATACAGCCAACGATGATATCACTTGGAGATGGACAGCAAATGGTGTATATACCACACGAAGTGCTTATCAGGTGCAGTTTGTCGGAGTCTTCAGTAGCATCAAAATAACTCCGATTTGGAAGGCTAAAGCGGAGCAAAAATGTCGTTTATTTGCATGGACGTTGATGCATAAGAAAGTACTAACAGCGAATAACCTGTGCAAACGTGGACGGACCGACGATACGGATTGCAAGCTTTGTGATAATGATCAGGAAACGCCAGTTCATTTATGCAAGGATTGTCCATTCACCAAGGAGGTTTGGAGCATTTTAAAGCAGTGGTTCAACTTGTCGGTTTTGGATTCAGTTAGCACTACAGGGTCAATATATAGTTATTGGTGGAAATGTCGTCGGAAATTTGACAAAACTCAGAGAAGAGAGGTGGACGGAATTTTAATATACTTCTGGTAGAATATATGGAAAGAGAGAAATAGAAGGATCTTCCAACAGAAATCTCTCAGCCCGGCCAAGACAAGTGGCTTCTATTTGCAAAGATGACATCACACAGTATTGTCTGGCAATGGCACCGATGCCTCAAGGGCCTCAAGCTAATTGAAGATCTATGGACCTTAAGTAGATTTCCCTCAGTTGTTGTCGTGCCTAGTTCTAGGCTTTCCCAGTCGGGTGGTAGTTTTTTGTTTTCAATGTACTCGGTGTCCAGTTCAGTGTTTTCTCTGTCGTTAGTTGCTCGGGGGTGGAGAGGTCAGGCAAGCTTTTGCATGACTGCTCTCTTGTAACTTCTTGTACAATTTTTTTCTTCTTTTTATCATCTAATAAAAATAACGGTAAAGCTTTTGCCGCCCTTTCTTAAAAAAAAACTTGGGGATTGATGGCGCCGGCCATTGCCCGTACACGTTGCAGGTGAAGGCCACCCGCATATGGCTTTGCTTGACGTCAGTGGACCTCCATCCCTGGTCCCGTTGTCCAGCAACTCCAACCGCTCCCCATGACTCACCACCAGCCCCATGACCACTGGGAGCGTGAGGGATGGGAGCCGCCGCGACGCTGCGCCGGCGACCGGCAACCCTTACGTCCGCGCCCTCATGGCCGGCTGCCCGTCTTGGATTGAAGAGCCGAGAGCGGTAGAGCAACACGCCAAGCGCCCGTGCGGCGTGTGCCGATGCTTGTACCCACTGCCCCTGGTCCGTTGCCCTAAGGGCCAAGCCGCCAAGGCACAGAAGCGCACGTCGCCCCTCGCTGCCGCCCGTCTTCAAGCTCCGCTCGTTGTCGCGGACGGCAGACTCGCGCTCGTGCCTCGCGGTGTCGCACGCTTCGACCCGGTCAGGCTGCGCCGGGTCACGTGGCGTTGCGGCGTCCTCCTCTTCCATCTGGCTCAGGGCGGTGCGGAGGTCGATGGGCGACCACGAAGCGAGAGAGAGTGCGATGGGTGAGGTCGAGAACTGTCCCGTACTCCCGTGATCGATGGAAGAAAAGAGATAGTAATCGGAAAGGGGTGTTATCAGCGCAGCGGTAATTTAGGATGATGCAAATTTCCGACGAGGGTTTTAGCCGTGTGCCATTATAAAAGTTTGTAATTATATATAAGCTATTAAAAAGTTTGAGTGGTCATAGGTGGCATTGGTCTGAACTTTTTTTTTTATCCTCAGGCACCGTTCCCTCCGCTTTTGCCTCTAACATTGTCCGGCTGCGGTGGAAAAAGTCTAAAATAACCCTAGGTCTGAACGCCATGCAAAAATTCGTCGTTCTTCTAGTGGGCCCTTCTGGTGCCACTAACCCTGACACCTTGACACCTCGTCGCTGCCGCTCGGTGCTGGGAGTTCTCACCGAAAAACTGTGGGCACTTGCTCGTCTGCTCGGCTCTCAGCCTCTCAACATCTACGGCTCAAAACTCGGCTCGCAGGCCGTTGGTCATTCGGTCTCACGCTCTCAGGCAGCTGATGAGCCGAGCATGCCTTCGTGAGTATGGTGGGTACCAAACACCGCGATCACAGGAGCCTTCCGCAATCACAAGTTCTTGAAGCCCTCCAACACAAGTCGCCTGGTACATTCAGTTTCAGTCTCGCCATTCGATTTGGCTGCGAGGGCTGCAGTTTCAGTTATTCACCAGTATAGATAGTACACACTCAGTTTTGACTGATGTTCTGCAGATTGTTTTCGAAAGATCATGTTCTGCAGATTGTTGTTGCTACTGAAACCTCGTCCTCTTCGCTTAGCTTCTATTTTGAATCGTGATCAGAATATCCATAACCAAATCGCTTAGCTTTACTGACATAATTTATTCACAACATTTCATTTCATAGCCTGGACTCCATTTCTTGCCTGAATCGTTTCAGCAACCTCCGTTTCTGACTGAGTGCAAAGCGCTCCTCCAGACAAGCTTCATATAAGAGGAAGGACTCGCTGGTGCTGTCTTCCTCGCCAAGGATGCCGGGCACGGCGCCCACGGTGGTCACCTGGAGCGCGGAGGTGGTGATCGTGGTGACAGCAATGACGGGCCTTGCAGGTCCCGCGCCGCGCTTGGTGCTGCACTGCGCGTTCTGGACAGTGTCGAGGATGCGGTGCGCCTTGAGGAGCTCGTTGGAGTGGGGAACACGAGCGAGATGTGCTACGCGGCGGGGTGATGGGCGGGGTGGGCAGGAAGAGGAGGTAGACGATGAGGCGGGAGAAGAAGAAGCCGACGGCCATGAAGGTGGCGCAGAAGAGCACATGGCTTGGCCGGCTCCGGCGCGACGTCGGGCAGCCGCGCCGTTGTCCTCGCTGGAGCCCCCGGACGAGCCATGCCGCTGACATATGGATCCCGGAGCGGCCGGGTCGAAGTGAGTGGGAACGAGGGCAATGGCGGCCGGCTAGGCCGCTAGGGCGCGGCCCCAACCAGCATGCGCGTGCGCGGGCGTGGCCCCAGCTGGCATGGGCACACAGGCGCGGCAACGACGCCCAGCAAGGACATCGGTTCAGATTCGCTGAATGGAGCCGACGAGGCCTTGTGCACGCGTCGCGTTCGAGGAAGGAGGAAGGACAGGCTGAAGCAGCAGGAGAGGGTATTTTCGACATCTTCACTAATCGGGCCCACATATAAGAGCGGATAAACAGCGAGAACACAACGGAAGATAGCTAAGAGGGAAAAAAATTTAGACCGGTGTTACCTGTAACCGTTCAAATTTTTTAAGTGACTTATTAGTAATTACCAATTTTTATAATAGCACATAGGTAAAAGTCTCATTTCCGATCCGGTAAAGAAAAATTAGACGGGGCGTGGGAATAGTGTAAGGCCTTGTTTAGATGCATGTGTTCACATGTGTTGGAGTGGAATAGAATTTAATATAATTCCATTTAAATCCACTTTAACACGGATTGAGATAAATACACGCAAACAGAACCCAACCGGATCGTCGCGCGATGATATTTTCCCTTTCCTTCTGTGCGGCCAACGAGCGAGCGAGAGAGGGGGAGCGAGCGGGGATCGTAGGGGTCAGTCTAACGAGGTGAGGCGATGATTTTTGGGCGATGATTTTTGCCGCACGATGCCGGTGTCTCTTTTTTTGGCTTTTTAGACTGTCTCCAATAAGGAGATCCAGACCCATTTTTGCGTCCCGCACAGTTCTTTGCCTTCCCGAAAACATCGTTCAACAGCAGACCTATACACCCGACACATTTTGCCTGCTCGCCTAAACGCTAGGCAAAAAAGCGTCGCCTCTCTCCTCGCTACGCAAATCGCCGAGCTCGCCCGTGCCCACGACGGGGCGGAGCTCGCCCGCGCCCGCCGCCGGTGTTGGAGGAGCGCGCGGCGAGGCGGGGAGCAGGGATCCGGGGTCCTCCGCGCCAGGGCGGAGCTCGCCCGCGCCCGCCGCCGGTGTTGGAGGAGGAGCGCACGTGGAGGCGAGGAGCGACCAGACGAGGTACATGGACGCGGCGGTGAGGGCTCCGCAGCCGAGGCTGAAGAGGAGGCCGGAGACGACGACGAGGATGTCCTTGGCGCGGTCCTGGACAGACGAGGCAACGACCTCCGGCTCGGCGGCGGGGAGGGCCACGGGGCGGCGGATCTGGTGCGGGCCGAGGCGGAGGACGGTGACGACAGTGGTGGTGAGCGCGCGTGGGGTTGGTGCGGGCTGAGGCGGCGGACGCGGAGGCAGCGACCTCCGGCTCGGCGGCCAGGAGGAGGAGCTTGCCGGCGGATTTGGGGGCTTATGCGTTTGCGGTCTGTTAGAGAGGCTCACTTTTGGGTGGTGATTTTTTTTCTCTGTGCCGGCCTCAAACTAAGCAAATAGGTGTTGTATTTGGGTTTCTTTGTTGGAGCCAGTCTTAGGTGTGAAAGGAGAAGAGACGAGAGATCGGAGATGTTCTAATAACAGGACAAAAGATATGAACCCTACACTACCTTCTCTCTCCCTTCCGACTCCTTGCTTTTGGCGGCGCCGCCGTGCTCGCAGTCACAGCCGCGCGTCACGCTGACGCCGGCAACTCTCCTCGCTCCTAAGCACGTCACACGTGGCTAAACCCTAAACCCATAACCGTACTCGCCTTCGCGCCGCCGGCGAGCACCGAAGCCACAATGGCCGCCACCGCCGCCTCCGAATACTCCATCGATCGCAAGCTCTCCGCGCTCGTGGAGCTCGGCCGAGCGCGGCGGCCATGCGTGCCGCCGCCGAGTCCGTTGACGCCGTCGCGGAGCTCATCAAGAGGGTGCCGCAGCAGCAGGCGACGCCGGAGGCCGCGCGGGGGTTCATGAGGGACCTGGGGCTGGAGACCGAGAAGCTTTCGTTCACCTTCCGGCCGCCGGAGGTGGTGCGGCTCGCCGGGAGCCACGCGGCCGGCGCGGTAGCGAGGCCCGACGTCGCTGCCGACCTCCTCGTACGCTTGCCAAAGGTATGCGGGGTTCTTCGAATTCATCTGTTTGATTCAATCCAAGAACTTGTTTTGTATTACCGTCAACAGAGTACAGAGGAGCTGTTTATTTTGCATGGGAATGGGATTCTTTGACGTGGTTCTGCCTCTGTGGCAGCTGGGCGATGTCCATTTTACCCTCAAAATTTCTAGTGTATGTTTATACCTTTCAGGATTTCAGTATTCAGGATTGTCATCTTATAAACAATTTATGCTTGTTTGGTAAAAAACAAAACAATGTCCATGTCCTCGCAGTAGTTCCGTTATCGTCCAATGCACAGCTTGTTCGTTAAACATTCTGCTTTCTGTCTAGTTCAGTTGATATGAAGCCTTTGTTACAATGTGCCTGCTGTCAAATAAATCTCAGCGGTTGAGGGGCTCATATTCGATTGTACTTCTTATACTCAAATAAACTAAAGGGAAGGTGTTGTTGGGAAGTATGGATTTTCTGTACGTTTACTCTACGTGCCATTAGTTTTCCTCCTTCACAAACATTTAGTTTTATTTGATTGACGTATAACTGCTGAGCTATGCAAAATTGTTCAATCAAGTCTTCTCAACAAAATTTTGTTGGTTGGAAAGATTATAAGTAGAATAAGTGATGCTTCAATGTTCAATCAGAATAACCTCCTTTTGTCAATCTTTTCTTTTTCCCAAAAGAGTTTTCTCAGCAACTAGTTTGGTACAACTGTTGGCCTGCTGGGGTGACCAGCTTACAAAGACGGGTCCTGAACAAAAGAAAGCATACAAAGATTCTATTACAACAAAGATTCAAATTTCACCAATGTCTGTCATTTGAAACAGAATTAGCATGTTAGGGTCGTGAAGATGCCTAAAATGGAATGCGCCATTCCGAATTCATAAGTCGCTGGGTATTTTAATGGAAAATTAGCTTGCTATGATTACAAAGATGACTCTTCTCGTGCTTTTATTTTGCTTGCCGACTTGAATCAAGACTGCTACTTTTGGAAGCGATTAAACAAAATTTTGGTTTCAGATTGTCACGTGATTTGTTTTGTACGCATTTACCACAGGAATGCTTCCACGAGAAGGATTTCTTAAATCACCGATACCATGCAAAGAGGTGTCTTTACCTCTGTGTTGTTGAGAAAAACTTGAGGTGCTCTAAATTAATCCGCAAAGTTTCATGGTCTACCCTCCAAGATGAGACCCGAAAGCCTGTGCTTCATGTATATCTAGGTTGTTCTTCTACCTTCCCTTTTTTCACATCATTGGTGCACTCGAAGCTGATACTCCTGCAAGTGGCATTTTCGTCATTATGCTCCCCTCATTTTTTTTAACTTCCACTGGTGCAGAAACCAAAATTGCAGACCTTCCTGGATTCTATGTAAGAGTAATCCCAACTGCAAATTCTTTGTTCAACGTTTCAAAGTTGAATGTATCAACAAGAAACAATGTCCATGCATATACAAAAAGGTGATATGACTGCTTTACATATATGTTCAATTCCTATGCGATGTTAATAAGAGTTCATGTTCTTTGAAACTAGTGTCATTATACCATAGTTTTGGCCTTTAGCATAGTTATATAGTTTTTTCTTTGAAACTTTGCTGATTGGATTTGCATTTCAGATGGTGTAAACCTACCCACACCAAAGTACAATTGTAGCATATTGGAGGATATGTTTTTGGAGGAAAATGCAGACTTTATGAGTAGCACCTTTGCTAACTGGAAAGCTTTGCAAGAGGCCTTGGTGCTGGTAAAGGTATATTTCATTGTAAACTATAGTTGGTTTATGCTTGTACATGTGTTCTCTTCCTGTTTAAAGTAGCCTAATGTTTAATTGAAATGTCGGTCTGGGCACGTCAAAGAACTTCAATATACACACATGATTGTCTCAATGGATACTTAATTTCTGCCATCCTTGTGTTTCTTACTGTGGACTCTGGAGGAAGCATGATTACTAGATCAATGACCACAAGAAAAAATTTCCGTGTATTGATGAAATTTTTGGGTACATCCAAGCAACAAAATGTTGATTTTCTAGCGATATTTGACCATGTTTACTCAATTGAATCATATCTGTATTCTTGTAGCAACTTCCAAGGTGTGGGCAAAGGGATTGGTGATTCAATCAATGAAGAAGCGTACGGTTACCAAAGAGGTTTGTCAACCTTCTGCACAAAGTCCATTGTTGGGAGCCATCAAACTAGATTTGTATCTATACCCATATATGTAGAGTAAATGGAATAGTATTTTCCATACAAAATCATAATGTCTACAGATAAGTCCTTTGCCTTATAGTGTGAACATGGTAATACAGTATGAGCATGACAAATTGCTATGCCATACTTAAATGCTTGTCTGGTCATATTTCACCATGGGTTCCTGGAGATTATAGCAATAAAAATACCTGAAGAGTTACTTGATGTACATGATACCTAGTTCTGTGTGCAACCTTTGCACAAAGTGCTATTGATTAGTGCAATAACGTTGAGTAACCCATTGATCTTCAGTTCTGATCAGAAGTGAAATGCTTCAGGACATTGCCACTTGCCTGAAGACATTTGATGTTGCCATATTTGATATATCTGGCCACGTAAATTTGGTGTTTCGGATGACGAAGTCTGCTTTTTTAGAGGTATGTATCATTATTAAACTAGTCTATATCCACCAAACCCTTTTTATAACTACTCAAATGTACAACCTTGTGGTATAATCCAGCAATCCCTGGTAGATATCTAGTTTGGTGTTTTTTTATTCTTCAGATTCAGAGTAATGCTCTCAACATCTGTAGTCAAACTTTCAAATTTCTTTGAGTTCAATTATTGTGGCCTCTGCCTATCTTTCCTTGTTCAGCTTCAAGATGAGGCAGCTTGCGCTCTTAGTTGCCTTGATAAATGCAGAGATGGTGGACTTGAAGAGCTTTTTATGACCAAAGTTGACTTTGGTGCTAAGTTCGACTCATGCTTGAGGTACGCTGAATTATGATGCATCACATTGGCACCTGTTGTATTATGGACTTTTACTGGAACCATTATTTGAGTGAACAGTGCAGCACATCCTCAGTTTGAGACTATCTAGTTACATTCTGCATCTGCTGTTATGTTGTGTATACTTGTGTATGACGGTGTTGACTATTTTTGGATGTCCATATAAACAATCCATGCCACAAAGTTTCCAAATAAACTTTTCTCTTCTATTTTCATATTATTTCCAATCTGCACATATTCCTAGTGTCATTGAGCCAATTTGCCTTCTAGTATCATCCCAGATTAAAGACTTCTCCATCAGCTGATCAAGTTCTCACTTGTATTTCTTTCTGTCAGGATAAATTTGAAAGGGAACTCTAAGGTTTCTGCATTAAGCTATTGTGTGGATGACGAGTCTTGGAGAATTCTTGAGAAAGATGTTCAGTCTTTGCTGCAACGAGGACTTACAGATAGAACAAAGATGATCCGAGTCCTGTGGAGAAGCACACCTTCTGAATGGAAAATAGTGGAAGTATGTAGTGTGAGCATTGGTATTATTGATCACTTTCCTGCATTTCAGTCCAGTGACAAGCACAATTTTGTAGGGTTTCTCAGAATTTGGCAGCAGTCCGCTTCTCGTTGGTATGATGGTCTCGTTGGAAAAAAGTTTTCGCCTTGTTGATATTGGTCCAAACCCTGAGAACCGCATTGAGGTATTTTTCCTTTTCTAGATTACGGAACAATGAACTGTCATTACTGCGATCTGACACTGATATGCATTATTAAATCACAGGCTATTAAATTTAGGAAATTTTGGGGAGAGAAAGCTGAGCTTAGAAGATTCAAGGATGGAAATATTGCTGAAAGCACAGGTAACTGATGCATTTTATTTTTTCTTCATTCATTATCTAAAAAGTGTGTTACTCGGGTAGCTGTTGCATTTTATTCTTAATGAATCCTACTTGCTTAACTGCAGTTTGGGAATGCCAATCTTGGGAGAAGCACACAATTATTAAAAGGATTGCTGATTATGTGCTTATGAAACATTTGTTACTGCAGAAGGATGATTTGATTCATGTTGTTGATCAGCTGGACTTTTGCCTCTTAGTTGATGGCCAAGGTAAGTTCCAGATATTTCTATGTGTTGCTTTACAGTTTACATATCCTTGGTTTTAAGCTTATTCGTAATTATGCAGATCCAGTATCGTCTTCTGGAGCTTTGCTTGAAGCTTTTGATACTATTGCTAAGCAGTTACGTCTCTTAGATGATGTTCCTCTTAAAATATCTACCGTGCAACCCCTAGACGCAAGTTTGACATGGTATCTTTTTGTATTCTTTATGCATGATCTTTCTTTCACAATTTTTCTCATTAGAACAACAACAACAACAAAGCCTTTAAGTCCCAAACAAGTTGGGGTAGGCTAGAGTTGAAACCCAGCAGAAGCAATCAAGGTTCAAGCACGTGAATAGCTGTCTTCCAAGCACTCCTATCTAAGGCTAAGTCTTTGGGTATATTCCATCATTTCAAGTCTCCTTTTATTGCCTCTACCCAAGTCAACTTCGGTCTTCCTTTGCTTCTCTTCACGTTACTATCCTGGCTTAGTATTCCACTACGCACCGGTGCCTCTGGAGGTCTCCGTTGGACATGTCCAAACCATTTCAACCGGTGTTGGACAAGCTTTTCTTCAATTGGTGCTACCCCTAATCTATCACGTATATCATCGTTCCGAACTCGATCCCTTCTTGTATGACCGCAAATCCAACGCAACATACGCATTTCCGCGACACTTATCTGTTGAACATGTCGTCTTTTCGTAGGCAAACATTCAGCACCATACAACATAGCAGGTCTAATCGCCGTCCTATAAAACTTGCCTTTTAGCTTCTGTGGTACCCTTTTGTCACATAGGACACCAGATGCTTGGCGCCACTTCATCCACCTTGCTTTGATTCTATGGCTAACATCTTCATCAATATCCCCGTCTCTCTGTAGCACTGATCCTAAATATCGAAAGGTATCCTTCCTAGGCACTACTTGACCTTCCAAACTAATATCTTCCTCCTCCCGAGTAGTAGTGCCGAAGTCACATCTCATATACTCAGTTTTAGTTCTACTGAGTCTAAAACCTTTGGACTCCAAAGTCTCCCGCCATAACTCCAGTTTCTGATTCACTCCTGTCCGACTTTCATCAACTAGCACTACATCGTCCGCGAAAAGCATACACCAAGAGATGTCCCCTTGTATGTCCCTTGTGACCTCATCCATCACTAAGGCAAACAAATAAGGGCTCAAAGCTGACCCTTGATGTAGTCCTATCCTAATCGGAAAGTCATCCGTGTCTCCATCACTTGTTCGAACTCTAGTCACAACATTGTTGTACATGTCCTTAATGAGCCCGACGTACTTCGTTGGGACTTTATGTTTGTCCAAAGCCCACCACATAACATTCCTTGGTATTCTATCATAAGCCTTCTCCAAGTCAATAAAAACCATGTGTAGGTCCTTCTTCTTCTCCCTATATCGCTCCATCACTTCCCTTCAAGACAATTTTTCTCATTGTATGTGACATTTCCTTTCGTTTGCCCTTTTCTTACACCAGCTTTTAGGCACACTTCTGTGTTTCCTCCTGAACCTCATCCACTGGCATATGGAACGAATTCTCAGAGGCTACCAAAATGCGCAGCAACTTGCATAAAATCTTTAGAAGTTATGATTCAGGTATGACCTTTGTTTAGTTGTGCTGTATCATAATAGAATAATATTAATTTCTTATTATCCCTCTATGGGAGATAGTATATCACACCTCTTCTTCATTCCATTTTCTATTCTAGAACTTTGGGCTTTGTAGACCTTTCCTACAATAGGGGTGGGTAGAATAGAACACAGGAATTGTTACTTCTTCCTTTACCTCGCTACTGGCAAGAAAATAATAGAGGCGTAGATAATTTCATATATGGTGCTGATTTGCTCAGAAACTTTCATGTCATGATGTGTATCTGATAGAGCTGGGCTTCATTTTGGGATTTGCTTTGTTCACAAATTTCTTCCCTTCTCCATTATTTTAATAATAGCTAGAGGGATCTGGTAACTGGCCCTTGGATCCCGTGGCCATGGAGAAGACAAAGGCTGCATTTCTTTTAAAAATTGGCGAAAGGTATGCGATAAAAAAATTGTTTGCTTGAATTTGCTTTCTGTTCCACTGGCTCATTGTTTTTAATTTCAGCTTGGAGGATCAAGGAATGTTTGTTTCAGCCAGTGAAGATGAGGTGAATGTCCTTAGATCTGGATATTCATTCTTACTCAAAATATTTCATGAAAGAGGTTTAGTGCTGCAAAAGCCAGGTTAGCCTTTTATTATGTATTCAAATAATTTCCTATATTTGCTAATTGGCTACTGTAGAAAGATCGCAGAGTTCCATAACTTTATTTCATTATCTGGTAGTTGGAGATGACAAGACACAAAGTGCTCTATCAGAAGATAAGATGCTTTTTCAGCGGAGCCAACACTCTAGTATGATCAATGGTCTGCATGGCCGTTACCAGGTGTATGGACCAATAGTTAGGTAACTGCCAAGGTTCTGAATGTTATTTAAACACCCCATATCTTAAACTATGAAGCATGCTTATGAAGCTTGCATTTGTTCTTTCTGTTTCAAAAAAAGGCTAGCAAAAAGATGGATTTCTGCACATCTATTTTCATCATTTATCTCAGAGGAGGCAGTTGAGTTGGTAGTTGCATATATATTTTTGAAGCCATTCCCGTTCCATGCTCCTTCTCGGGTTGCTGGGTTTCTCAGGTAAACTTCTGGAACCTTCGTCAGCCTCTGGTTTACCATCTGCATTGTTGCTCGTTTTATCAGCTTCATTCTTTCTGTTATGTCATAGACAGATGCCTAATGCTACATTCCAACCAGCTATCTTTGTTATTTCTTGACTGCTGAAAAAGGTTTGGTTAGTAGTTCTGAAAATTGTGAACAGTTTTTTGAAGATTTCTTATCCATCCTGTGAAAGCCACAATTCCCCCCTCAAAACCCATTTCTCAAGTTGCATATTGTAATCTGCTGTTTTTCCATTCCAAATTATAAGGCGCTTTTGGCTTTTCTAGATGATACATAGTAAAAGCAATGTATCTAGAAAAGCTAAAGCATCTTATAATTTGGAATGGAGGAGAAGAATAATCAGATATGTGGAAGAGGTGCATAGCAGCTGGAGTCTGAGCCAGGAGGATGTGGTAATGGGTTTTGGCCAGAAAGGAATTATGAATATTTAAGGTCATACTCCTCCGTTCTCTCTTTCATAAGGCATAGCTTAACATGACATGGTCTCCCAAATTACATTTTGACCATCAATTTATTTTATTCTATATTATTTATACTTTTAAACTTATGATAATTGGATAGTAGATTTAATTACAAATCTAACTATATTAAGTTTATGTTATAATAATTAAAAATTATTACTCAAATTATTAGTCAAAGATTTTGAAGTTTGAATCTTGATATGCGTGTGCGCCTTATAAAAGAGAATGGAGGTAGTATTTAGTTAGGACTTAGGAATGATTATCAGAGTTAAGGATTTGGGAGGGCCCAGGGTCCACTATTTTAAGGATGCCTTGTATCATTGTTCTGGATAAGAATGAGTCTAGTCTCCCAGCAGTACTATTTCGTCTCTATCCCTATACCATGTTCTAATTTCCCTTTTCAGTACCCTAATACTACTTGAGCCATGTGGTCTGACCATCCCTTGTATTATAGTATCTTCTTGTGAATCCCAATATTGAGTGTATAGATGAATGAATGTTTTCACATAGAGAGAATTCATTTTGGTTTATTGATACATGTTATAGCAAATGTGATGATATGTTGCTGATTATAAGTTACAATTACTCTTAGATAATGAAGCCATTACATCTAGTTTCTTATACCTAAACATACAAGCAGTCCTGCATACAAGGCTTATAAGGCTCATAAGGTTATTAATCACCTGATTAGGTTTCGGTGCCACTCTCTCCCTCCATCCATCCTACTTTCCTAGTTTTTTTTGAGGGAATGCCATGTGGCACACTTTATTGATTTGTAAACATTGTTACATCATTTATCAGACTCTCTAGAATGAAACTAGGGGGTTCATCGACCCAAATACAAGAAAGTTTCGAAGACATAGCTTCCCTAGTTGGTTATACCTTTTACCAGTCCTAATAATCATGAGCGATGAAAGGTGTCAGAGTCCTCTGATGAATCACTAAAAAATCACAGGTTTTTGCCGTTGTTATCCAGTTTTGACTGGACCTTTTCACCCATGGTTATTGACATAAATAATGACTTCACCCTGAAGGATGAGAAGGAGATCAATGTCAGCTCTCTCTCTCCCCTCCCTCCCTCTCATTTTTTAGTTAGCTCTATAGCTCTTAACGTATTGATTCATACAACTACAGGATAACTTTATGCTGAGCAGAAAATCTTATGAGCAAAACCCTCATGGCCCTGTTTGGTTCCGCTCATACGCGCGTTCGCGACGGGAGAAGCAGGATAATCCCGCCAAACGGCTCGCGACGGTCTCCATCGCAAACGCGGCGTTCGCGTTCGATTTCCTCCCCGCAACGGCGATTGGAAAAGTGACCGAAGGGCTGCGATTTGGAAAACGCGAGCCGCGTTCCCGAGCGCTCGCACTCCCTCCCGGGCGGATCCGCCTGCTCGCTTCCACTCCGGTACGGCGGCGGGAGGCGCGTCGGCCATGGCGTCGCGTGCTCTCCCGGTCCTTCCCTGCCTGGATGCCATGGCGCCGGAGCGGCCGCCGCCGTCACTCGTCAACGAGCTCCTCGAGGAGATCTTCCTCCGCGTCGCCTCCCCTGCGGACCTCGCCCGCGCCTCCGCCGCGTGCGTTTCCTTCCGCCGCCTCATCAGCAACCCGACGACGCCCGCCCGCAGCTCCGCCGACGGATCCGCCCGCTTGCTTCTCCGCCTACCGCCCGCAGCTCCTACGGCCGCCGGAGCTCCTCCTCGCCTGGAGCTCCTCCCCCTCGCCGGGAGCTCCTCCCCCTCGGAGCCCGCAGCCGTAGCTTCTCCCCCACGAAGGACCTGGATGTAAATAGAAACTTTTATTTGGGTCTAGTTGTAAGGCTATAGACTCACAGGAATAGTAGTAAACAGTGCTACATAGTTTGAGAAAAGTCAGGGTTCCTAGTGCAAAATGTCCATCCCAAAATAATCGAGCCAGCCAAACGCTCAGCTTAGATTTTACGTATCGTGACTTATCAGATAATCCTACTCAGCTTATAAGCGAGACTCAGATGAGCTGAACCAAACAGGGCCATAGAGCCTGCAATGTTTCAGCTTAGATTTTACGTATCGTGACTTATCAGATAATCCTACTCAGCTTATAAGCGAGACTCAGATGAGCTGAACCAAACAGGGCCATAGAGCCTGCAATGTTTCTTGCTACGTCATATGATAAAACATCTGAAGCATGGACAAAACAGTCACCAAGCAAGTCGGTATGTGTTTTATTGTTTTACAGCTGAAATTACTCTTGCTGTTGAACAAGTGGGCATCAAGGCTTTGGTAGTAAAGTAGAAATTTTGAAAATGCAATCTATTTCCATTTCTCATGCATAAATGACATTTTTCCCAGTAATATTGGATTTGTTCTTGGAATATGATATGGTTACACTCATGTTGAGACTCTAACCATGAATAGCATGTATATTAGCCTATCATCGGTGTTCGATAACACAATTAAGCACTCGCCTAGGCGCGCTTAAGCGTAAGGTGGAGCCCTGGCGGCCTAGGTAAGTAGCACAGAATCGGGGAAAATCGAGAGCAAGGCAGGCTCATGTGGGCATGGACGGGTGGCAGGAGAGTGCAGCAGCACAAGCAGGCAGGAGTGTGTGAGCTGGAGCTCCTCAAGCTGCTGCTGGCGTAGTGCCGCCCTGCCACCCCACATGCACCCTCCCTGGCACGTGCTCGGGCCACCTGAGGCTGGTGACGCAAGGCCTCACAGCGTGCGAAGTGTGGCTGGCGTTGGGGCGAGGAAAGTTGTGCTGGGAAGAGGAAAGAGGTGCGGACGTGTGGCGCTGGGAGGGAAACAGGAGGCTGCAGCTGGATAGGGCAGTGGATAAGGCTGTGAATAGAATGGGCTTGGGCCACAATGTTTTCTGGCCAAGGAGATAGTACTGCCGTCCTGCTGGGCCTTATGTTATATCGAGGATGGGATGAATGTGTGTAGTGATGCACTTATTTACATCCCAGCAGAATAAAAGAAAAGACACAAACACTTAATCATGTTTAATATCCGCTTAGGCGCCTTAGGCGCTAGGCAGTGTCCTAGCGCCTTTTGGAACCTTGCCTATTATATTGTTTTTTAGATGGAGTTGTTTATTCTTTCTGTTTATCTTCTGTTCATTATAAACATAGGTTCCTAAATGGATAGCTGCTTATGCTAAAAGCAGTGCGGAGCTTTTAACAAATCTTACACTTCATGGTCAATCAGGGGAATATACATGGGAGGTAATTTTGTTCATCCACTACTTCATTGGCTTAATCTTATTTTAGTATCTTTTTTTCATACTCAGTATGAATCTTTGCATGCTATAGTGCCTGTTCCGAACACCTATGAGCAATTATGATGCTGTTATTCTCCTCCATCAAGAGAAGCTTTGTTGTCCCCATCATGTACTTTTTCCTGCCGAGACTCCCGATGGTCAGTTTTGCTATCAACTACAGTTGCTTTCCAATTCCCTGATGTTGTTACAGAAGTATTCTTTCGGCAAAAATGTACTACCAAATACTAAAGCTATAAAGCATAATCAATTTCACCTCTACAATTAACAGAAATTAGCTGAGATTTCTTGCTGACCAGAACTCAATTGATCTTTTGATACAATAGCCTACCTTCAATTCTTCATATTTTTTTGTTCTACTTTAACAACCTTACAGGTAAGTTGGTGGTCTGGGGCAAACCAAGTAAAGATTTCTGCCCCTATATGCCACTTAACAAAGGGGCCGTGAAAGGTTTGCACGACGCAAGAGAGAAACTTTTGGTAAACTTTGACCCAACTACGTACTTCTTGCGAGACTTGAAGGTAAAGCTCTTGATCTCTTTAAAATATGCTCATCCATTTGGAATAAAATTTAACATCTACTTACAGTGTGCATTCTCCAAGACCTTCAAGCTGTGGTATGGTTCAATTGAAGGAGACGCTGTGGGTCTTACATGGGAGAACCCAAAGGTATTAGTGACAGCTTGAACCATGGAACATTTTTTTTTGGACAAGCAATATTTTAGTCTGTTTTCCCAATAAGCACTCTATCATGAAGAACTCTTTTTTTATTTGGCGTAGCACAAATGCAGATGTATTTTAAGTTGTATGAGTTTTTTACATGTCACAGAAGCGTGGCAGAGAGGAGGCTGATGAAACTGCGCCAGAGCCGACAGCTATCCTTAAGGAAGTTGGAGATGTTGGTAAAGGTTTAGTGAGGGGTGTGTACCTTGTCAAGGCACCAAAGTTCCAGTAAACTAACACGGACATGGGTATAACTGAAGACCTGACCGAACAAACTGATGCACAAGAAGGAAGACTTGTATCATTTGCACACCAACACAACTTCCAAATGTGTAGTCTTCCAACTGGCAAGAGAAGCAAAGGTTCCAGGGCAGTGTTTAGTGGCAATGGGGGAGCACATGTAGCAATGTAGTCATAACTCGTAAACAAGTCAAGATGTGTTGTGTTTATACTACAACTACACAGTTGCCAAAAGAGAAATCAAGTAAAGATGTGTTTTGTTACTAATACACAGCTGCCAAAAGAGAAATCAAAGGCTGTAAAGTCTGTATCGAAATTTTGATTGTGTAGTATATATGACATGTAATTTTGCAACTTCTGCTGCAATGAAAATGCCAATCAAGTTTGATGTGCCAATTTGTGTCTATTTGGTTTTGGATGGAACAAGAATGAGCAGGTATTGGATGTGCATTCGCCTGTAAGTCAGACTGATGCACAAATTTCTGCAACATCTGCAACATTTCTGCATTGTGCCTTACAAGAGACGGAAAGAATCTGGAAAGGGGGTTGGTAGCTTTATATTTAGCAAAAATTTGCAAAACGACGCGTTCAAATTATAGGTATTGTTCAAGTTAAGTTTCTTTATTAAAAAGGAAACAGAGAAATTGTATCTGCAACCAATAAATTTATTTTATTATTAAAAAGGCAATTTTCCAAAGCATGTATTGTTCAAAGTCAGAAAGAGTCTGTGGAAAGGGGTCGTCCAAATTATTGGAACTGTTCAAGTTTAGTTTTAAAAAATATTAAAAAGAGAAATTGTATCCGCAAACTATTTTCCAAAAAGCGTGTATCATTTTGAATGAAAAACAGAAAATGCAAATGCTTTTGTTGAGAGTTGAACTCAAGACCTCCCGCTTAGATGGTCTCCAACAACCGCGACCCAAAATACAAGATCCATTCGTCCTTTGTGTAGCGCTATAGACAAAGGGTTCAATACCTATTTTTGTCTTCTCTAACAACAAGACCCAAAAGACAACCCTTTCTGCAAATAGGTCTCCAGGAAAGAGGATACTCAGATTTAGGTTATGCCTCTCCCAGCACCTAAAATGGGTCTTCCATATAGGTACTCTGTTGAAGACTATAGATACTGTGTTGGAGACCCATTTTGGATTTGAGTTCCGCAATGAGTCTCCCGTTGGAGACAACCTTACTAAACGGGTGCTCTAACCAACTGAGCTACAAAAGCATTTTGTGTTTTATGTTGGAAAGGGCATGTATAATACTATTGAGCATATAATGGCCCCGTTCGCTTGTCTTAAATTTGGTTTGTTCGGCTTATTTTTTTAGCCGGAACAGTGTTTTTCTCTCACAACAATTCAGCCGGAACAGTGTTTTTCAGCCAGTTTCAGCCAAAGTTCACACCAGCGAACAGGGCCAATATATTTATCATCCGGCTACAGCCATGTTTGGGACCGTGGCATGGGAAACACGAGGGTCTGTGCCTTCAGTGATGGGAAAAATCATCGATTCTTATGAGGCTTTTGGCGTGATTTTCTTGATTCTCGCGGTGGGGTAGCCGCATATCCAGTTTTAAGCGGTCCTCAATATGCCCTACATGGTCTGTGAGACCAACAAATTCATGGATGACGGACGAAGCTCTCACATAAGAACATCTTCTAAGTCAGTTCTTCGGACTTTTTAGTAATTACGACCTCCGTCCTCAAAAGAATGCAACGTTGCTGCCACGAAAAGTGGTTCATGTTTGACCAAATTTTTAGTGAATAATATTCACAATTATGTCTTTAAATTAATTTATTATGAAAATACATTTCATAATTAATATGATGGTATTTATTTTGTATAATAAATATGAATATTTTTTATGTATAATTGATCAAACTTAAGGTACTAAAACGTGACGTTGTGTTAGAATTGTATTCTTTTGGGAATGGAGGTAGTACATAGTACATACTGTGACGCTCACAAACATGTAACACTAACCACTATAAGTGCACACATGTAAACATGACCCTTATGTGCAACTACTCATATGCTCATAAACATCTAAGTATTGAAAATATATGAGTATTTATGCGAAGTCGAGAACTTGAACCATTTTATGTCTTTAATATAAGATAGCAACCTCGTAAAAAAAAGTCAAATGATTTGAACTTAGGTTACCAGGTTCTATCATAAGAAAAGAACAACTATGCTACACTCATATTATCTTAAATTAGAAGAAGTGTATATATTATAAAAGTATTATTCATAATAATTATATTGTGAATATATATAAAAATATAAAATTTAATAGCTAAAGTCAAAGCTTGAAAATTTTGACCTAGTTCAAATGTAGATATTTACGATGGGAGGAATTATTTTAGCCCGTCGCATAATTTGATGAGGAGTGCGAAAGGAGCTGTCACCGGGCGTTATTATGCCAAGATCCTCCACTTGAAATTCAACAATAAATGTCATTATCCCTCGGCCTTCCGTTTTCTATTCTACTCCCAGTATTGAAATTTAGAATGAAATATGAGTATGATTTTTTAGATAATGACAAAATGTGAGTATGTAAAAAAAAACTCAAGGATACGGGGTAGACACTCATGAGCTATTTTAGCTTAAGGTAGATGATTTCTCATCTAGCCCGAAAAAATCCCCCCCGAACCCCATGCCTCGTCCGCACACAGAGACCCGTTACCCGGTGAGAGGAAGCGGTCCATTTTACATATGCTTTAGGAACACGGGAGCAACTGGTCTAGCAGCTGTTGGCACAAAATATGAGTACGTAGTCCTTTTTTTTAATTTGTACGTAACTTTTGTACCGAGTTTGCAACAGTGACTTTTCTTTCTTTTCTTTTTTTTTCAGTTTAGAAAGGTGGCGTCGAATCACTGTTTATGCACTGTTCGCCGAAACAGCAGTTTAGAAAGGTGGCGTCGAATCACTGCAGATGATTAACAAAATGTGCAAGGTCTTGAAACAACAAAGATCCCCTAATATGTGATGCAACGTCACAACACTGTTCACCAAAGCCGTTTTTCTCTCTCCTTAGTTTTCTCTCTCACTGACACCACCGGAGCCGGAGAAGCTTGTTTTTCTGGCTTCCGTGACTTCGGCTACAGTGTAGGAGCCGGAGCATACTTGAATGCAGCTAGATTTAGCCCCAGCCCCCAGTACATACGTTCCAGTTCTAGTTCGTATTTTATAATGAGTCTATAATAATTCATTTATTCTTCGAGAAATGCTTACTCCCTGTCAAGCACTCCAAGAAAACTGTATACTTGACAAAACGTGAAACTTAAATCATAGCATGGCTGAATCAAAATCCAGCAAGGACCGCGAGAAATCAGAAGAAATAATCTCGATCTATACACCTGCTGAGCACCTACTTGAAAATAATTTCATCCATACCACTGGCGCATGGTTAGGCTAGCTAGTCCAACACGATGGGTACTAATACTGTTGGACAAACAAAAAAAATCGGAGGTGGCGCCTGGCACACATTTTTCAGTCGTCGTGCCATAATCATACACACACTCATTCAGGACGCATATACATGCACACATCGGGCGCGTGGGCCCACCTCTCAGTTTCTCCCACCCCTCAACGCGGAGCACACGGGGAGTACTTATGCTGGATACAAAAGTCAAACGATTTGGGGTTTATCAAAATTATATAAAAAATACTAATATTTATGATAAAATAAATATCATTAAATTGATTATTATGAAATATATATTTTCATAATAAATCTAGTTAAAGACATAAATATTAATACTATTCACTGTAAACTTGATCAAAGTTAAACTAGTTTCCCCTACACGTAATTCATAGTTGTATTCTCATGCCTAGTCTGGATACCAGACGCATAATGTGGATGGCGATTTCAACAATCTCATTACGACTGTACTGTCCTAGAGGGGTACAGAGGACGAACGTTATTAATGAAAATAACGGGTGGCAATATCTTATATTCCCAAAAATAACCGTTTATGTTGCAAATGGGCCTTAACTCCCCGTTTCGAAACGAGGTCCAGGCCCAGCTCCAAACATGAGTGAGCAAAGCCTACAACTACAAGCGAGGGGACATCTTTTAGGCGGGAGCGACATCTCTTTCTCGCCATTCTCCTACCATCTCTTTTCCCTCTCAACCCCTGCGAACGCGGCGCCGCCACCGCCACCGCTCGCTCCCTCCGTAGCCTCTCGCTGTGCAGCCCGCAGCCCCTCAACCACTGCCGCCCTACGCGAGGGCCACCCTCTTTCTCTCAGCGACGACTCGGCGACCGTCGCTGCCAGGTGGCCAGGTCTTCTGCAGGCTCGCCGGCGACAAGCACCACCAGGTACACCCACTCTCCTTGGTCCTCCCTTCTTGCTGTGCGTAAGAGCACCCAAACCCTAACTTACCGTTTGTGTTCGGATCTGATCCGCGCATAACTCCACCCCGTCTCAACCCAGTCTCTCCATTTTTATTTTGTAAAAAAATCCCCTGACCAGTAGAAGCCCTTCAATTTCCGACGTTTTTTCGCCTACAAATTCAGTCATCCTTTTTGGGTCTAATTTGAATTCCTCTGTTTCGTTTAGTACATGCAGTTTTTTGATCTGAGGATGGTTGGGGACGATGAGCAGGTTGACTCTATGGAGATTGACGACCAGAAGCAGCAACAGCTAGAAGCCCCCACTGCGGTGCCAGAAGGGTTCAACACTGACTATCTCCGTGTCTACTACGGTAAACTGATTCACCTTATAATGCATGGAACGGACAAGTAAAATGAAACAGGATCCATACCATCTGTCAGTCCATAACCATCTATTTTCTATCTTTATTTATCATTGATTCTACAGAGTTGTGATGTTGCATCACAGATTAGGGATCTTTGTTGTTTCGATTAATTCTGTGGTTGCTTTTGTTGTATATGAATTGTGATGGAGACATCTAACAGATGAGGAAGCTAACTGACTAGCATTTGCTTGCTGGAATAGTTTCCTTCCCTCCCAATTGTTTGAGAACT